GACCAGAATAGAAAATCTGCAGACATAAGTGACATCAGCAGAGACGCTTAGGTTTAACTGAAGTTAAACTAACTAACTGTTTAACTAACCAGTTCCTACTAATCATTTCCTTTACTATTGTGGGGGAACTGAAAAAAAAATAAGCTGAGCAAAAGTAAAGCCTGTAATTGCTGGCTATAACTGCCCAGATTACAAGAAGAGATTGGAAAACTAAATTTCCCTATTACATTGACTTTTAAAGTTGATAGAGGGCCTGGGAAGATATCTTGGTGGGAAGGGCACTTGTGGACAAGTCTTATGTCCTGAGTTCAATCCCCAGAACCTCAGTTGGTGAAAGTCCCACAGGTTGTCCATAAATTGTCCTCTGAATTTACACACACACACACACACGGTAAATAAATTTAACTGTTTGAAATCAGGAGGGTCACTTGAGAGCCTACTGTTCTGACACTGGCTTGTTTCACATGTGGTTTAGTGAACATGTTGAAAGTGTGACTGTGTTAGTGAAAATAATAGTGTCAGAACTCTCTGACCTCTTGACACTACGACTTGACTACACTCCATCATATAAAAAATACCCAACAGACTTAAACACAATCAGACATTATAATTGATCTTAAGTTAACATGTGTGTTTGACTGTAAAGTTGGCACTTGCTAGCTAAATGTTACAGCATCTCTATTTTAAGCATTTTGTACATGGCTGCAAAGCCAAGGTCATTTTCCCCTCTGCTGCTCTTTACTTGTTTATTTTTGGAATGTTTGAGCCAAATCTGTTCCATCTTTGACCTTTGGGTTCATTTCTTTTTAGGGAAACAGCTATGTATACCTTTCTTGGTATTAAACATACACATATACTCACATGCACGATAAACAGTTCCCAGACTTGCTTTTCTGATAAATAAATCAGTACCAGGAGATCTTTAAAATGTCAAACTTCTTATGGAGCACAAGACCTGTCACTGTCCATGTGTGCCTGTGACAGGACCCGAGACCTGATTGGCCTGGTTCCCAAGTGCCTGAAGGCTGAAGTGTGCAAGTCACCTCTTCAGGCCTGTGCCTTCCCCACAGTCAGCAGAATCCCCCTTCTCTGGATTCTTGTAAGATTTACTACTGTGCCAGGCTGCAGGCCTCTCAGAAAGGTCAAAGAGCTTCCATCGTCCACTCCCAGATAACAAGGTACCATCAAACTGTTCCCCGAACTTGCCAGGAAAAGTGCATAGCTGTCTCCTTATGCCACCCCACAAGCAGCTCTCACAGCCTTGCTCAGAAGGTCAGCCCCAAATAGCTTATGCCTGGAGGAAGGTAATCTCTCATGCCTATCATGACTTTAAGAAAGTATTCTTTTTTCTTTTATTTTTGAGATTATAATTACATCATTTTCTACTTCTCTTTCTGGCCTCCAAACCCGTCCATGTATCCCTCACTGCTCTCTTTCAAATTCATGACCTTTTCCCCCCAACTACTGTTGCTGCAGGCATATGTGTATATATACATATATACACACAAATACATATATAAATATACAGAAATATACACACATACATACATACATACACACACACACACACACACACACACACACACATATATATATATATATATATATATATATATATATTCCTAAATACAGTTTTCTCATTCACTATAATGTTGCTGATATGTATACTTTCAGGATTGATCAGTTAGTATCAGCTGACCATTTCTCCCACTCAGCATTCCTTAGTCATCTGTAGTTCTTTGTTTAGGTTTGAGGCCTCAAGGTCCTTGTCTCGTTCACGTTGGCATCTCTATTGTTGCCCTTGGCCAGCTCAGACTTAGGCAGTCATGTTGGTGAGCCTTTGAGGGTGTAGTTTCTGACATTACTAGGAAGCACAGCCCGTCATTGTTGTGGTCCATAGGTGTCATGGCTGGGTAGACGGATGATTGATTTGGAATCTTGCATGGCTTCTTCTGGTACCATGAAAGGTAGTCCCCAGGGAGGAGGCATTCGGATCTGTTCTGAAGGGCATGGTGTCTCTAGCAATAGGGACTTCCCTTCAGCCTCTAAGGGGCAACCAAGGGCCATAGCAGTAATCTGCAATGAGGGAGCATCTTAGATAAACCTGATCAACTGCTTCTTCTCATGCCCGGTGGTGGGTTTTTGGCTCTTGGAGGAAGCACTGTCCACCCAGGTGAGAAAGAGAAATTATTCCTTGGAAATGGAATAGGGTAAGGAATTCTTTGCATCTGATTAGACACGAGCTCAAATTATACTACTTTCTTGCTTTGTGAGCATGTAAGTATTGTGTTTTCTGGACACTTAAGCCAAATTCTCATCTGTAAAGGAGAAATTGACAATATTAAGAATATGACTAAATAAGTTATATTCTTATATATATAAGCAAAAATGAGTCTAAATTAAAAGAAAGGAGTGAATTTTCATCCATGTATGTGGCGATAGGAAATGAGGCCCGAGAAGACAGCTCAGTGGGTGCAATGATTGCTATGGAAACATGAGGATGCAGGTTTGATTTCTTAGCATCCATGTAGAACCTGGACGTGGCAGGGAAGTCTTTAATCCCCTCACTGGGGAGGCAGAGACATGAAGATCCCTGGAGTTGGTTGGCCATGCAGTTCAGGTGAACTGAATTGGTGAGTTTCAGGTTTAGTGATGTCCTGTCTCAAAATATAAGAGTGATTGAAGAAGACACCAGTAAGAGATCTGCTTCTAGTACACACACACACACACACACACACACATAATTGCATACAGACCTGCACATACACAAGTACACATGCGCAATCATGCACATACACAGTACCTGTTTTTACTACCTACTTGTGTGAAACAAGAAGAATAAACCCCTGAGGGATATTCAAAAGAAATAAGAAAGCCCTGGTGATGAGCTGGTCAGTACCAAACAATTTGCATCAGGCAGTTCAGCACTGGTCCTGTGTAGAAAGTCTGTCCCTGGTCAAGGACATATCTAGGGTCATGCTGTCACTTTTTACCCTCTTAGACATTCCATATAAAACTAAGACTTGCCTGCAATACGACAGCCTTCAAAACTGCAGTGCACTGGTGTCAGGAAATGACCAAGTTGTGGTTATTCCCCAGCCTCAGTGACAATCACAGCTCTGAGGAGTTCCACATGTGTGCAGCATGTGAACTGTTCAAACTCATGCTGGGGCGTCTCACTTTTATTATTAGCAATAACTTAACCAAAGTAGCAGACTCTATCTCTAACGCAAATGGATTTCAGCATAGAGAAGGAAAAACAACCAACTGGTCTACCATCTACTCCTTCGTCCTTCTATCTGGGAAAGGACAATAGAGTTAAGAAAGGGTGATGTGATCCTTTGCCAGGAAGCTTGTGATAGCTTGCTTGTTTTGATTTTTTAATAGAAACAGAAGAAACACCAACTTAAAATCATCCTACTGAGCAGGCTGTGATGGAAAAAGGAAGAAAAAGCCTACTTCTTCAGTAGGCTGAGATTTTTGTCTAGTCTAGTCTCCCCAAGTTGTATCAACCTACTGATGACCACACCCACTGGGGGAGTGGTACTAACTCTGCATACGTTGTCATCTTTTGTTTTGTTTTTCAAGACAGGATTTCTCTGTATAACAGCCCTGGCTGTCCTGGAATTCACTCTATAGACCAGGCTGGCCTCCAACTCATAGAGACTCACCTGCCTCCGCCTCCTGAGTGGCCAGGCACAAATTGGCATCTTATTCATCCACTCTCTGCATCCTTTCCTTCTAAGTAGGTGTCTTTAGACTCAACTTGAACCCTTATCTTGTCTTTCACCCTCCCCTAAACTTTGTCCTTTGGCCCTTCCCTGCAGCTCTCTTAGCCTGGTTGGAACTTCCTGGTGCATCTCTGCATTCTCTGCGGTCCAATAACTTAGCCCCTGAACATTTGAATCTCCGTTGCCTGTCTTGTTTTTTCTCTGGCTCCCTTTGCCTAGATCCGTGGTCTCAGGATCCATTCCTCTTTCAGATCACCCACTAGCTACTCCTTCTCACTTCAAAGGTGTACATGATAATCTTATACTAAGTGATTAGTATCTTCAAAGTTTTCCTCATCTTCCCGTCCCATGAGGTCCAAACCTAAGACTCCTATTCAATTCCTGCCTACATTTACATTTGTTTCCAGATCTCCTGAAAACAACAGAAACTGCTCGCCTCTTCGGCATATATATGTTTGATTTCTGTTTGTTCTAACAACGTCTCAAGCAGGCCTTGAGCTTGTTAGATTAGCCCAGGCTGTCCTCAAACTCCAGATCCCCACACGGCAGCTGCCTCCAGATCTCAGTGTTGGAGTTCCAGGTTTGTGTCTTTCCCTACGCTGAAATTCTGTTACCTCAGCGCCATGCTGTTTATCGTCCACCTATGTCCTCAAAGTCGTTGATATCACATTTCTCTTCTCCTTCCTCCACCTTCAGGTTCTGCAAAAGATCAACAATTAATACTTGTGGGGTAGAGTTCCTGTTGATTCCAACTTTCCCCCAAACTCTGCTTTCGTAAACCGTGAACCACGGTATTTCTGACCTTGTTGTTCTTCATCACAACCTCACAGGATCGGGCTTTGCTACCAAATCATACTATGTACCCGAGATGTCTTTGAGAAAGATTGAAGAAAACCTACAAGATTTCTTTATTTCTGTGTCATCAGAGTAGGAGAGGAAGAGGGTCGTTACATTGAAATTTCAACTTCCATTCACAGAGGAAGAAAATCACTGTCCCTAAAAATCCCTCAAGGGTAGAGGTGATGCCCAGATAATCACTGTTATCTGGAGGTGGGAGACACTTTTGCATCGGAGCCGCACAACTGTGGGAAAACAGTATACTTTCGTCCCTTTTAGAACACTGCTTCTCCAAAATAATGGCTTGAAATTTAGATGGCCTTTAAAATCGCAACTATTATTGCAGTCTCCACGGAGGCATCTGGTGATTGCCCCAGTCCTGGAGCCAGGCTCCGGCCCGCAGCTTGGGAACCAGCCACTGGAGGGCGCAGAGAGCGCGCCGGCCCTAGACTGGAGTAGGTCGAGCGCGGGATCCGACGCTGTAAGCCCAGAGCCACGGGATCGCCGGCCGCACAGGACGCGGACTGTCACTGTGGACGCGCCGAGCTCACCAACCGGGGACACCGGCCTCTGGGGAGCATCAGGCCTTTTCCTCCGGACTCCACGGCTCCCGATCCCGGGTGAACAGCATTCGGGGCGGAGGGCGATGTCTGCGGGAACCCACCGCGGTCCTCGGGGGAACCGGGCGCCTCCGTTCGCGTGTCTCTGTTGCGTCTCGGCCGCCCTGGGGATGCTGTGGTCCCCCACGACGCTGGCGTTCAACTTGGATGTGGACAAGCTAACGGTATACACTGGCCCCGAGAACAGCTACTTCGGCTATTCACTGGACTTCTACATACCTGATATGCGCACGTAAGTTTCTGGATTGGGTTAGTGGCGCGCTTGCTCCCGGGTCCTGTACCAGTTCCTCCTCGCCTGTCCCCGCAGCCTAGAGGAAAGAGAGTCTGAGATTCTAGCCAACTGCCTACTAGGGGTCAGATTTCCTACCAATTTCTTTTCTTTCATGATTTATGCTAGATAGATGAGCCCTGGGAACCTTGAAGACACACCACTTGTGAGGAAGTCCGGACTCAAAGACAGGAGCATCATACAAAGGAGAGAATGGGAACGGACAGACTGATTTTAAAAATAAAGACGACGATACAGTCTGTTTCTACCGAGCTCATATCAGCTAAGGTCAGGATGCCAGTGCCTTAGGTTGCAGGCAGTTGGGATCTGACCTCTGCTTCTCCCCACCAATCTCCACCTACCTCCACCTAGATATTAGAATATCCACCTGGATATTCAGAAACATTGCAGCCTCTCCCAAAACCAGGTTTTTGATGCTCATAGTCTTCCAAAAAGAAAATCAAGTTTGACAGTCTTTCCATAGTAAATCTGTTTGTGCTCCCTATGGCAGTCCAGTGACTACGCTGCTATGAACTGAATTTTGTGCGCACAGGTCCCTGAGAAGTGACTTTCTCAAACCCTTTCGTAGAGCCAGCGTCTTGGTGGGGGCGCCCAAAGCCAACACTAGCCAGCCGGATATCGTGGAAGGGGGAGCTGTCTACTACTGTCCCTGGCCCGCAGAGGGATCTGCACAATGCAAGCAGATACCGTTTGACACCACCAGTAAGTGATGGTATTCCGTGCTGTGACCCCTGATTAAAAGAGAACCTGAGCCATTCCCATGGCAACTTTGCATTCTCTTTGCCCTACTAACGTAAATCCAAGTGTTTGGGAGAATCTGGTAACTTCTGTTTCCCTACTGTTCAGAGGTGAGCATTAACGGGGAGTGGGTGTTTGCGAGGAATAGGAAGATACACGACCTTGTGGGGACGTGGTGGCGCACGCCTTTAATCCTAGCACTTAGTTGGCAGAGGCAGGTGGGTCTCTGTGAGTTCAAGGACAGCCAGAATTACCACCTCACCTTGACTATAGAGAGAATCGGTGTGTTCCTCAAATACAGATTTGGAAAAAAAGGCTGGCTTCGGAGCATTTGTAGTTCTCTAGTAACCGAGTCCAGAGGCAAAACTTCCCCTGCAGTATAGATCCAGACTGCAACCTGGGGTGCTTGCCATTCTAATTCTTTACAGAGAGAATTTTCTTTCAAAATATTGGTCACTGAATGCAAAATACTACAGGCAGAGTGTGGATGGATTACATTCATTTCCAAAATCCCTAGACAGATGTTTCTTATTTAATTAAAAGGAAAATACATTTTAAACAATTCAGTCTGGTTGTGTTTCGTCTGCTGTTTTCTCTTTGGGTCCTAAGAAAATAATTTAAAAGTAATGTTTTGAAAACATTATCATCAGTGTTTTAGCTTGTACCGCCCAAACTTTAGCATTCAAATGATATGTATTATCAGAGAATAAATATCTCTTTTCAAAAATGCAAATATGTCAGATCAAATGACAGGGTTTGACAAGGTTTGATGGGCAGTTGTTTAATATACCTTGTACATAGCACAGCTTTTTTATGACATCATTCTTGCTTTTCTTGTGGGTTTTTTTTGGGGGGGTATTTAGATGTCGTGCATCTAGAATTTATATAGAATGTCCATTTTCACAGAATTTTGATGAAGTTGATTGGGTGGTATGTACTTGTGACTTTAATTTGTATTATTTAGGTTGACAGGGAAGTAGTTCCAGGGCTATGACCATGGGAACAACTTTAAAGAAAAAATTATACAAAACTTACCTTGAATTATGACCCAATTAGAAAAATGTTTTATAAAAGCATTTTTCAAATTGTATTTCCATGCCCATCTAGGGTCACAATATCTTGTTGGTTATTCTATTAAATAATTCAGCAGTTTGATGCCAGGTTTATAAGCTTTTATTTTTTACACTTAAGTTTAGCAGCTGGAAAATTGAAACCTCTTGTAAATAAAGCAGTAAAGTTTGAGTTCCTTCCTGATCTTTAGTTTAAGACCAAACTTCTGGGGCTGGGGAGATGGCTCGGTGGGTAGGGCGCTTGCTGCACACAGATGAGGACCCATGTTGCGATCCACAGCACCATGTCAAAGCTGAACACCTAGGGTGAGCCTGGGATCTCAGTGCTTGGGTGCGTGGCAGGCAGGAAGATGCCAGGTGTTTCCTGATGAGCTGTTCTTAGCTAAAACTGTGAGTTCCAGCTTCCGTGAGAGTCCTTGCCTCGAGCAATAAGGCAGAGAGGGACTGGGGAGGATAGACCCTCAAACTTTGGTTTCCACACATGGAACCTGGGTAAACACATCAGCACACACGTATGCACACAGGCGTATACCATACACACATGAATACACAGAGAGTTCATCTAAGACTTGATCATATGAGCATGAAATCAATGCCATTTTTAATTATATGATCATATTAAAAATAATTTTTTGAAAAAAAATTTCTGCCTCCCTTCAGCCTCCGATTTTCCTCCCCCTCACAAAAATAATTATATTTTTAAAGATTTATTTTTACTTATCTCTGTGAGCATCTTCTTGTGTATGTTGCGTGTGTATGGGTGCCCATACAGGCCAGAAGAAGGTGTCTGGACTCATGGGTGTTGTGAAGCAAATGATGTGGGTGCTGAGAATTTCACTCAGGTCCTCTGGAAGGATAGCAAGCAGCCAACCATTCAGCCATTTCTCCAGCCACTAATCTATAGTTTTAAAAGGAAATTTAAATCCAAATCTTGACACATAAAGATACATATCATTGTGCTATTTGAATTTGCATTCAAGAAAAGAAGCATTTCAATTTTGAAATGGTTGGTCTTTTTTTCCAAGTAGTAAAGTAGAAAGTTATTAACTACAACTGAATTTAATAACTTTCTAGGGCATTCCATAATGTATGAAATCAGGATGTAGTTAGTGTTTTCTTTTCATTTTCTAGAAGAAAAATTGATGTCTGCCCAGATAAGCTATACCTGAGTATCTTTGTAAGTGCTAATCTCAACTAATGTCATGATTTAATAGATAAAAGCCACAGAATCCAGGCATCAAACTGACTTTTAAATTGACCTCTCCAGCCAAAACTTTCCATGTTAAGCTTCAGTAGTTAATATTTTCCAACATTCACTCTAAAGCAATTGTTTGGGGCTTTGAGTTCACTTTTCGTTAGCAGCCTCGTGCAGAAAGCTTGTGTTTGGGTTTCCAGAATGGCCCACAGGAATGCACTTAGCCCATAGTGTAGCTCGATTTATATTGCAGCAGAGCAGGAGGGGAGAAGTGAGGACAATTTTGGCAATTACACACATAGGAAAATACTATCAAGGAAAGACCTTTGCTACTCGGAAACTGTTGAAGTGGTCCGTAGCTTCTTTGTGTGGTTCTGAAGACATAGCAGGGTGTCTCTCAGGCATTGGGGTTATGTTTTGAAAATGTAGACAGGATTTCTGTTTTGTGTTTTTGTGGAGGGTTAGTAATCAAACCCTGTACCATGCATATACTAGAAAAATGCTGTGCTACTGAGCTACACCCTCCACCTCTAGATGGATAGAGGTTTTTCCCCATAGAGAGGAGCATCTATTACACTTCTCAGCCACAGTCACAGTAATTTGAGAACTCATAAATGGAACAAAGGGGAAGGATGGAAGGGAAAAGAAATGGATATTCCTGAAATAACTACACAAGATTTTGTGTGTGCGTGTGTGTGTGCGTGTGTGTGTGTGTGTGTGTGTGTGTTATTTCCTCAGCTCCAAGAAGATTATTTTTTCAAAAGCAGTGGAGTAATAAAGGCTGCACAGACTTTGAGAGAAATGAAGGGATCAGACTGGAATTAATGCTTCAGTGACCTATGAGAGAGAGAAGTTTCACTGAAAGATAAGGTAGAAATCTCTGAGAAAGAAAAAAAAATCCCCGTGTCAGCCAAGAGGGGGTACTGTGAGTCCAGAAACAGGTTTTTGTTTGTTTGCATGTTTGTTTTGTTTTATTTTTTGTCATTTCTGTTTTAGAAAGGAGGAGATCTGTGAGGGGAGCCAAAAGCCCAGAGATGGGGTGTATATTCCTGAGTGGGTGCTGTTTCTTCATACCCAATCTGTCCAGTTATTCTATTCAGATGGCCCAGGAGAGTGGAATTGACAGTAGCTTATAAGTTGGTGCAAAGATGTGAAAGCAAAGAAGGAACAGCAGAAACCCTCAAAGTTGCTTTCTACCTGAGCATGGACTTTGTGATCAGACGGAGATATTAGAATCCGGCTGAAAGGTGGCCACAGGCTTCACCAACTCTAGGTCTCACAGTCAGTATTGTAGATGCATGAACTTGATGAAGGTGGCAACAGGCATCGTCAACTCTGGTCTCATAGTCAACATTGTAGATGCATGAACTCGAGTGGTGACTACTATACAGCAGCTCCTTTGTGCTCCTGTTCATCGCTCCTAATCTCTCACACAAAACAACTATGTAAAATTCATTTTGTGAATCAAGAAACCAACCGCGAAACTATGGCTGAGACCATATGATGACACAGTAGCAGCCGTAGGCTGTTTCCTGAACTCGTTCCAGAAACGGGAGAAAGCTGGTTTTCTTGGCGTGCAAGTACAGGGTCATGACTTGGTCTGTTGAGTCCAAGAAGCACTGTGTACCTTCCCTCCCTTTACTCTTGCCCAACCCTCACCTGCCCAACACAGGTGGATCTGCAAACCCCAATGGAAATGTCTTCTTCTTCCTCCAAGAGGCTAAACAAAGTGGCAATTTTGGCAAGAGTTTTGGAGAAACCAAAGGCTTAGAAGTAGGCATGTTCTTGGTGGAAATTATGAGTTGTAATGTCCCTGGTTTATTTAAGTTCCCACTGAATCTTAAGTTACCTCCAGAGTTTTCAGGGAAAGGGAAAAGGTAGACAATGCCTTTTCTTGCGAAAAGTGGCCCTGTGACTTAGAGACACGAGCAAGGTGGCATCCATGGAACAGTGTAGAAAATGTCAGGGGTATGTGTGCACTACGTTGTCAGTATTCCTCTGTGCACTACCCACTATTCATGTCTTTCACTCTGCCTGTTTCCTCATTGTATGCCAAGAATACCCAAGAAAATCTGCTTATTCAACGAAGTTGTTTCAACTTGTCCTAGCCTTGGGATGTTCAGCATTTCCTGTTTTGCTTCTGTAACCACGTGTTCTCAGGTTAGACACTTAAGTAGCTAGCCATGTCATCTAGTCTTAGAACTTACCTTAATATCTTTAAGACGAACTAACTGCCTCCTTTCCAAAGTTACCTGTTAGCTTAGTGCTTTTCATTTATTTTTACCTTATCAATCATCTTGGATTTCATTTTTTGCTACATCAAGTGACAAATACAAAACAAGAGGAAGTTTCTGATATCCCAGGACTTCAAACACATGAATACCGTCAAATTCTGGTCCTTTCTAGTCAAGAAGGGGGGATTTTAAAGGCAGCATATGGCGATGGGGGAGGTGCAGAGAGCAGATAATTTTCCTGCTCTGTACTAAATCAAGTAGTTCCCAAGATGCACTTCTCTCTTCTTACCCTCACACTTCAGTGTGGTGGAATTCCTCCTAGTTGCCGAATCGATTTCTTTCCCTTTTGCCTCTGAATTGTGCCCCTGTCATCCAAAGCTTAAATAAACCTCACATCTGCCACATGCGTGGGACGCTCCAAGGCTCATTTCTTCTTTCCCTCCACTTTCCACAGCAATGTGTGGA